GGCGCACAAACATTTAAATTTGGTTTCTTATTTCGATGTTAATTTTAAAGTGAGACTGCAGTGTGCTTAGTGCGAGTTTTTCAACGATCTCGATAGAGTTAAAGTTAACTCAAATTTGTATGGAGTTGGAACGTTTGCTTACGTTTGCCGCTAGGGGCGCTGTTCCAACTTCATACAAATTTGAGTTAACTTTTACGCTATCGAGAACGTTAAAGAACTCGCACGATGCACACAGAATAGACATTTTTCAATATATTTATTGATTACTAGCTGACTCGGCAGACTTCGTAGTGCCTCAATCGATAAATAAAATACCTAAACTTTTGTATAAAATAAACTTAAAACAAAATCCGTCCGACGGGGGACACATCGCAGGAAAAACAAAATTGTTATTTTTATTGAATTCCGAGCATTTTCATATATATTTTTACCTTTTAAACCTTCTCTGTACTTTCAGAAATAATTCAAGACTAAAATTAGCCAAATCGGTCCAGCCGTTCTCGAGTTTTAGCGAGACTAACGAAAAGCAATTCATTTTTATATATATATAGATTTATTATTTATTGCTAACATTACTGCTTGACGGCAGAAATAGGCGGGTCTGTGGCATCCTTCTGGGAGGGAGCTCACAAGATGCCCAAGCATCAGCATTTTGTTTACTTACTTATATATAGTGGTATATTATTTACAAACATCAGCATTTTGTTTACTTACTTATATATAGTAGTATATTATTTACTTATATTCGAATATTATGTTTAACAGTGTAATATATTTTAAGACCTGTTTGTGTTACTCTAGAGGCAAACCGGCAATTAAGTTCTTGATGGTTCAGTAAGGTTCGCTGCGTTAATTTTTATAGTACAAGCGATTCTTTACTATTTTAGCACGATTTTTTTAGGTTAGCATGTTTGTTTGTTTGTTTGTAAGTGACGAAATTTTTTAAAATAATTATTAACGATTTCAAAACTTTAAAACTTGATTAAATTAATTGTCAGTTTACTTATTGTTTTTTTGGTTAGTTCACAGTACATAGTTTTTTGCTACATTCAATAAATACATTTAAATTTTTAAATTGAGTCTCATATATTTAGAATCAGCTTCCTTCGTGTTCATATTATCCACTGCACACGATTTTGTGCTATTGTGCTTATTCTATGGTCGAGCTTTGCTGTTTAAGCCAGGTGACGATGAACCAGGATCAGAGGGTTTTCCACGCTTCCCTTTTTTTAGGCAAGTCTGTTTTCTGTTTTCAAGGCTTTTCATAAAGAATTCTTAGAAACTAAGATTTATTAATTAAATCTTACTATTATTCAATGCGCAATTGAACTGGTTTAGTTTATCGAGAATTTTGACCTTAATTCATTTCCATATACTACAATGATTACTAGAATGCGTGATTATAACTGGCGTTAATCGTTTGCAAATGGAACTGTTACATGGCTGTCTTGTAATGCAATTACTATGTAGTACGTAGATATAAGTAAGTAGCATCAAGAGAGGTTATAACGCGATATAACTGGCCGAAAATGATTACGTATTATCGGCAATTAAAAAAGTGTAGCCATCTTAGAGTTATTGTTATTTTTATTTAAATTAGATTACGTATGGTTAATAATGGCACATATTTCATTTTATACTACTCATTGAAGTAGTTTTTAATGTATTTCCTCGGTTTTTGCGAGTTGTAGACGTAATAAAAATTACTTTTGCTGTTTCATCATCATCATCATCAACAGCCCACAGTCGTCCACTGCTGGACATAGGCCTCTCCCAATCCACACTTTTGCTGTTTAATATCCGGTTTTTTATTAGTTTTATATTAGTTCCGTCGTTTCGATTGTTTTACGGTTTTTGTAAGCTCGGTCAGTGGTCACGAAGTTGTACTTTTTAATTTAAGTTTTTAATGAATTAGTATTATTTAATTTATTTATTCTGTGCTGTTAATTCTGGTGTTCCTTTACTGGATCTGTGACGTCAAAATGTTTTTAACGTCAAACATCATTGGGTTCAAGCTTAAATTGATAGCTTATATTTGAACTAGGAAAGTCTAGTGATGTGAGTTTTTACTGGTGGTAGGACCTCTTGAGAGTCCGCGCGGGTAGGTACTACCACCCTGCTTATTTCTGCCGTGAAGCAGTAATGTGTTTAGGTTTGAAGGGTGGGTCAGCCGTTGTAACTATACCTGAGACCTTAGAACTTATGTCTCAAGGTGGGTGGCGCATTTACGTTGTAGATGTCTATGGGCTCCAGTAACCGCTTAACACCAGGTGGGCTGTGAGCTCGTCCACCCATCTAAGCAACAAAAAAAAAAGAAAAAATGTGATTTAGTCAACCTAACAACACTCATTTGAAATTTACTCCATGTTCCGTGTTCTAAGACTAGAACCATGACGTTATGTAATGCTTAACTCGTTTTAATATCGCTTCGTAGCTAGCTTAAGAGGAAATATTTACTGATGGTAGGACCTCTTATGAGTCCGCACAGGTAGGCACCATCACCCCGCCTATTTCTGCGGTGAAGCAGTAATGCGTTTCCGTTTGAAGGGTTGGGCAGCCGTTGTAATTATACTGAGACCTTACAACTTATGTCTCAAGGTGGATGGCGGCATTTACGTTGTAGATGTCTATGGGTTCCAGTAACCACTGAACATCAGGTGGGCTGTGTGCTCGTCCACCCATTTAAGCAATAAAAATTAAAAAGCAAACAACAAAATAGTACCTTAAGCTTAAGGTATTATTGTTTCATTACTGTGGTGTGAGCCGAGTTTAAGCTTCTTCAGTAAGTTAGGTGAATTATTTTTTGACTTTAGGTACTTCTGCGATGACGATTAAGGATAGATTTTTTTGTTTGGTTTAATTTTCACATAACCGTACGGGCAGAAATCTATATATTAATACGTGAAGCAAAAACTTTGTATCCCTTTTTACGAAAATTGCGCGGACGGAGGAGTATGAAATTTTTCACACTTATAGAGAATATAGAGAAGAAGTGCACAATGATAATACTTTTTTTAAATAATGCATAATAGATACATTAAATCCATAAAGAAAACATTACACAGTACATACCATGTATTTGACGCACACACGCATGCATACTATTTATTGTCAAACTTTTGTTCTTGACGTCTGTGATCAAATTGAGAATAGATTAAAATTAAATATTGTTTGTCTTTATTAATATTTTTTTATAGTGTAGCCTTGGCGAAATTTGTGCTTATATAAGTATAAAGTACAATCATAATAGTGTACAAACTTACAATTTCAATTTATTATAGTCGAATTTCGACTACTGCGGGACCTCTAGTCCTATTAGTTTTGAGTCGAAGACTTGTTTGTTGTTTATAGCTGATTAGTAAACTTGTTTAATTAACAGGTGATCGAACCTTTTCAATTGATTTCGAGAAAATTTTCAATAAGCTTTATTTATGATGATTAAGAATTTAATTTGATTTTTAAATATACAAATTAGGTGTTGTACATACGATGTTTAAATTATTAAATTTGAAATTGATAATGTTTAAATTATTAAATTTGGAATTAAATAAATAACGTCATGTAAAAAAATACCTAATTTTACATCTGTTATTTTAATTTAATAGAGTATTAAAGATTTTGATCAATTTTCTAACGGTATATGCAGCGTACTTATTATTGATGATAAAATAATAAATTTTACATTTTTGTACAATCAAAGGTCGTTTAAATGATTTTTAAGAAAAGAGAAATGTATCCGATAATGTATAATAATATTTCTATATAATAATTCATAGAAATGTTTTTTATCGTCACAATACAATTCAAAACGCAGCCTACTATTGTTTCTACTGACATACTAAAATGGCACGAATAGATAAGTAGTAAGCAGTCTGTCTACTTTCTTCTGTACTTACTTGCATTCGTTTTCAGCGGTATCACTGTCGCGATCAAAAACAACGCCACGAATTTATGCATTCTTATTTTTTTAACCGATTAAAATTTGAAAACAAAAAGGGCGCGCAATTTTTTTTTTTTTTTTTTAATTCCCGACTGAGCGTCCGTTGCGTTCAGCCTCGGCGGGAGTAATGTGTGGCCACTGTGACCACGGATGAGCCCACTCCAAGATGCGTTGACCGTACGAACTGAGTTCTTATAAAGACGTGTACACCGTCTTTGTTAGAATAAATGAGTAAGCGTGGAATGGAAGAAAATATGTATTTTTTTTCTTTACTCATTCTTTAGTCATACATTTTAAATACAGTATTCCTTGTTGCTTTAGAAGTAGTAATTCGACACTTTTTATTACATGTTTCTACTATATGTGTCTAGTAGCACAACCAGTACACTAGTACTACTACTAATACATTATTAGATCTTGCAGTAGACAGTGGTTTAACCGTACCCTTGCTATTGCTGAAATCCATGTGCGACGGTGACCCATAACCATCTGGTGGGCCGTATTCTGCCTAAAATAACAAAAATAAATACACGATACATAATTAAAACTATTTTCACGGTATGATCTCGCGTTTGACTGCTATTTTAATATTATTTCAGAGCTTTCGAATATATTACAGCTGTATTCGTCGAATACTTTACAAATGTCGTCCGTGACCGCGAATACGATTTACCGTAAACCGTAAAAATATTTTTAATAATGTTTAAGACTCGCGATAAGCGAAAAAATACTAGATTCGAAACATTAACGATGTCACTAAAAACCTTTATAGGAGAATCGGTGGCGTATTTTATTGATTGGCAACTCTAGTTTTACCATTATATTAGGGCTCAGAGCGCTAGGGTGACCATTAAATCAAAGCAAAATTATCTGTAAAGTTTTATTTATATTGCGTTATCTATTGGTTTTGGCAACCGTCACCGCAGATGATACTTTGTAACGCTCCTCTGCTTTGTTAGACCATTTAAATTATTATTAATCAATAAAAGTTTTTGTCAACGCGATAAATAATGAAAATGACACAAACAAAAATAAAACAATATTTATTTGTTTCGGAATATTTTACAGCATCTTTGGTTTGCTTTCTGCTTCGTTGAAGTCACAAAATTAATATTACGTAAAAAAAATTGTCAATCTAAAAACTAATTATCTAAAAGTTAAAAAAATCATCGTCATCATAGCGAATGTCTTTTTCGTCTTCGCTTTTACCGATGATGCTTGACAGTTTGAAGCCGCTCTCAGCCATTTCATCTATTTCGGGCAGCTTCTCATGTATCATTTCCTCAACATCCAATTTGTCGAGCTCCGACTGAACTCTTTCTTTGAGTGGACCCTCGATCGCGTCCATGATCTGGTATCGGAGGAGGTTCGGCAAAATGTTCACGACGAATTCTATAACATAGTCTAGTGTTCCAGCGCCGTTGCAACGCACTTGTATGTTACCAACCTCGAGATCCAGGCTTCGAAACTGTGGTTTCTTCCGAGTATCCAAAGGCTGACCTAAGATAATCCTCGCGCTTATGTATTCAACTGAAAACGATGCAGTCCCAGCTCTTGATAGTAGACCGCTAATCGCAGATATCTCCCATTTAGTCTGGCCTTCTAATTTCTGAGTTCCGATTTCGAAATCGGCTACGGCCGTATTGTTTTCCATTATCAGTGAAATGTTGCCAACTCGTTGGAACGACGAGATCCCCATAACCCAGGTTTCGGCTAGAGTAACAACGAAGACGCTAACGCTTGTGTTGTAATCTTTGATTTTATAAGGATCCATGTCCATTTGGTGAACTTTTTTCCTTACATCAGCAATGACCATATCCAGTGGCGATATAGAGTTTGGGAACTGCAAATCGCCCGCCACTTCATCAATCTTTTCGTTCATCGTGGTTTTGATGGTGGCATAAGCTTCCTTGAGGACGTAAGGTTTGATCGAATCGAAGATGAACGGTCCGATGGTGTTGATAAATCCTGAGATGATTTCTGCGTTTTCCAGGTTCACAGCGATGTTGCTGGCCGATAAGTCCATGACGATGTTTTCCGCTCTGATTTTACCGTCTCGCTCTACTTGAAGGCCCGCGTTCGCTGTCACCCTCAGTCCTGTTATGTGAACAGTGAACGGGCCCCGAACCGAATTGAACCACGTCGCGAAGGTGTAGTTGCCGCGTGCTTGCAATTTTTCGAGAGTCATCACGGCGTGGGCCTGTAATTTTTTTTTTTTTAAATATTACCATACGTGTGTGTGAAACCAGCGAGTGACTCAGCATTTTTTTCCTACCTAAGCTTTGAGAGGCTATCTCAGCGTAACCTTAGCTAGTACGTGAGCTCACGGGGCTCAAACTGGAGTGATGCTAACTCTGACCCTAGTAAGAGCAGTGCTTCGTAGAATCTATCACCAGATCGGAAACGCGACCCACTGAGAAGATCCGGCGAGAAACTTAGTGGGCTGTGTCTATGTGTTAATGGGTTAATAAAAAGGACGGTGACCGGTGCTTGTGGTACCTAAAAGCACTGTTAATGGATCGGGAGGATCCGTAATGACGTGTTTTGGGCGACGTCGGACTCAGCATTGTTGCGCGTGTTTTGGTGGGTGTACGATTTTTAACTTGTCAGATTGTTCTCGATGTATTTTCTATGAGTAGCAGTTGCGATTCGACCGTCTGCCGACGTAAACTCATAAACAACATTTTGAATGTAAATTTTACGTTTAGCTTCCGGTGAGATATTAAACTGATTCAAAAACTTCGATTTTAATATTCTTTTATTTTATTTACTAATCGAAATTGTTAATATCTGAATTTATTTCGAAATCACAAACCAAACTCTCACGGATTATTTGTTTTTAGTTTTTATCCGACAATGTGACATGTGATTGTGCCCATTCACTTTGATATCGAAGTCTAAGCTCTATTAAATAATGGCAATTCCACCATTTAAACAAAGAAAAAATAACAACGGCACAGCAGAAATTGCCATGGCGTTGTGTTGCCACCGTGCAAATTCACAATTCGCTCTACCATTAATTTAAATTCTGCGCAGGATAAAGACAAATAGGTGTAACTTATTTGTGAAATCTAACTCAAAAATATTACTAGAATTTAAGAGTTCAATATATATGTGTTGGTTTTTATGTATCAAAAACACGAAGGAACATGATTAAAGCAATGAAATAAAATAAAATAATATAATTTTTTTTTAACGGGCAACAACAGAATTCGTAAAACGAACCTTTGATACAGCACAGTATTTGAATATAATCAGTTTATAATCCGCCATTATTATGTCTTATTAATTTTATTTTAATTGACAAAATATAATAATGCTAAGTAGGTAGTTAATTTGACTTCATGTTTTTGCCGAAAAGTCGTTTTGTTATTAAATTTATTCAATACCAAATTAACCAGCTATGATACTATGTTTAGTTCCGCGTTTGTATTTCATTTTGAGGTTAAAACGATTAAAAGAAACATAAAATTAAAATGGATCACATACCTCCATTGCTCCGATATCGGCCTTAACGTAATTTAGACGGAATTCGTTAGTTCCATACAAAGCTATGTTTTTAAAATGCATAGTTCCAAGAGTGAGTGACTGTTTGACGTCCGGAACTGGGTATGGATCTGGTAGTTTAGCTCCCGGCAGCCCCGTGGGATCCGGCTGTTTATAATGCTCCAGAATAGCCAAGATATTATGACTGAGTTTTTTTTCGCCTTCCGAAAGTTTTTCATCTTCACTCGACACCTCCTCGGGTATTTCTGTAGATTTGAGAAATAATATAACTTTGCGTGACGCAATTTTGGATTTACGTATTTTCTTTGATGTGGCTGTATCTCTTTGCTTCTTGTTTTAAACTTAAAAAAAAACGATACGAATAAATTTAAAACGTCACAATATCTTATCACAATAGATGACAGGCCGTAAAAATGAATAGAATGTTTTAATCCTGAATTGGTCACAAAACACAATGAATCCCACCTTGGCAGTTCCCAAACTGGAACAAAATCACAAGCACTAAACACAAGGCAATCTTCATTCTGTAACGTTGTCCTCTACTGCGGAGTTATTGTACGCACACTCATTCATTCCAGACTGTATCAAGGGTCATAGTTTATCGTTTGCCGTCAATTCGAACCACATTATTGATATCGGATGTTTAGTTTGTCGATGACGTCACGTTAACTGCATTTTAGGGATGGAAAAGTATTAAAATTTGCTTTATCTTCTCAATTTGACATCGTTACTTAATTTAAATATGCAGTTTCATTTTGTTTCGTATTGAAATTCGTTTTAATGAGTATAATTTGCTTTTAATGTCCCGCTAATTCTGGTTACGTCTATTAAGAAAATGGCAACCATGATATAATATGATATTTTAAACATAATTCAGTTAACATTGACAAGGTAGAAATTAAGTGATTACTCATTTTGAAGTACTTACTACTCTGTTAAGAAAGTACCGGGAAAAGATCATTAATACACAAAATATTGTTATTCACGCTTATTTTATCACTTTCAAAGTATGCTCCTTCAGAAACTGAAGTAGGTACTACTCTCTCAAGAAAGTACCGGGACAAAAAAGATTATTAATAATTAATACACAAAAATGTATACATTCAAATTTAAGATTAAAAACTAAGATTTAAGATTAAAACTAACATTCTTATAGTTGTTAACTTGCTTGGTGGTGGTGGGTGTAGCGAGCTCGCATAGGTAGGTTGTGCCCGGCCGTGATAATGCCTGGAAATACTAAGAAGCCTGAACCGAGAAAAAGTTTTAATAATTTAAACTTGTTCATGATGTAATAAGTAGCGTATACTATAAGAAGCATGATTTATATTCATATGTGACCCTTTAAGCGCAAAACTTCTCAGCGTATTTGATGAAATTGTAGAGAATCCAAACTGTTATTAACAAAAATAAACTAGCTGTTTGTATGGTAAACTATGAATTATTTTTCTTTAATCATGCCATCTGTTGACAAATTTATAAACTAATTTACATTACTATTACATTTGAACTGCAATTTAGATTTCGTTTTCAGTGTTTTAATCAGATGTCGCTTATTTAACTTTATTGTTGTATTTTGTCCATTCGCGGCGTTGTCGATCCGTGTGCTTAGCGAGTTTTTTTAACTTCTCGATCGCATAAAACTAATCTAAAATTTGTATGGAGTTGGAACAGCTTCCCTTCGTTTGCCGCTAGTGGCGCTGTGTCAACTCCATTCAAATTTGAGTCCTTCTATAAGAAAATAACGCTGTGTTTAAGCACAAGTCACCGTCCTCGCCGAACCTGTCGCTTGTGACGAAGGGCTCGACGAGTAAATTAACCCACAGACACAGCTCACTGATTTTCTCTCTTTTTTTTTTATTGCTTAGATGGGTGGACGAGCTCACAGCCCACCTGGTGTTAAGTGGTTACTGGAGCCCATAGACATCACGCAAATGCGCCACCCACCTTGAGATATAAGTTCTAAGGTCTCAAGTATAGTTACAACGGCTGCCCCACCCTTCAAACCGAAACGCATTACTGCTTCACGGCAGTAAATAGGCAGGGTGGTGGTACCCACCCGCGCGGACTCACAAGATGTCCTTTTCTCGCCGGATCTTCTCAGTGGGTCGCGTTTCCGATCTAATGGTAGATTCTAGATTATAAAGGAAGGTAGGTAAAGATATAGATTGTAAAGGATTTTCTTGCCAAATTCCATCCGAATCGTTTCAACCGTCTTTGCGTGATTAAGTAACAATCTATACTAGTGGTAGGACCTCTTGTGAGTCCGCTCTTGTGAGTATCGGGAAGGTACCATCACCCCGCCTATTTTTTCCGTGAAGCAGTAATGCATATCGGTTTGAAGGGTGGGGCAGCCGTTGTAACTATATTGAGACCTTAGAACTTATATCTCAAGGTGGGTGGCGCATTTATGTTGTAGATATCTATGGGCTACAGTGACCGCTTAACAGCAGGTGGGCTGTGAGCTCGTCCACCAATCTAAGCAATAAAAAAACTTTCAAACAACGTTTCACGTGAACATTAGCTTAGATTCTATCTAAAGGTCTACATAGGGCCTCTGATCTGGTATCATGACAACAATTTGACACGTGAAGGTTGTACATAATATGATCGATCACGATTATTTCCTAAGAAACGTTGTAGGTAAGTGTGAAATGATTTTCCTTAGAAACTAAGTACTAACTACTTAAGTGTCTTATTACATACGGTCAACCGTGCCTTAGTTATGAATTTCAAAGGATGCTCTTTACGTTCTGATATACATAATACATATGAGGCCATCAGCGCAAAAGTGGCCTAACTCACAATTTTTTATATTCAAGCTTATATTGGAATTTATTTAGATCCTCATATGAGTCGTCTATTATCAAAGGTGGCAATCTGTGCATTTGAACAAGAAAATGTTATTGATATGTCAATACAGATTGATTTGAATATAATCGTCTCCTTCAAAGAATACGGTTAAAAACCTGCATTAAATAAAGGTTAATACTTAACCTGTTATTTATCTAAGATGTCGATCAGAAGAGTTTTGTGGCTGCCAATGGAATACAAAGTCAATAATTCGTTTTTCTGATTTACCAATAATTGTCCAAAAGTCACATTGCCGGCTTTGATACTAGTCGACTCATATATGAGATGTACCTACATGCTACATATGAACGACTCACGCGATACTCAAAGTCATGGGACATCAGTGTTACTAACTTAATTGTTTTGGTTGTATTTTGGGAAATGACAACGGAACACTGAACATAAGAAAACAATACAGGTTATCTTGATATAGAGTAGTATACTATATATATATACACACATAAATGGTATGCTATACAGGTATTTTATTTATTAATTACCTGTGATAGATGCAATGTTTACATACACTAATCGGACGTTTTACCTTAGCACAAATTAAATAAATTACAAGTAATCTAGATATATAAATAAATTGTCACATGTGCGACGGATCATCACTCATGAATGGCCTGGTTGATTTTAGATGGATTCTTTCCGTTGCTCACACCGGTAACAAGGGACAGTCGCAAGCTATGGTGTTTGTTCTTCATGCAACATGAGTTAGCCAAAGCCGACTGTGACGGATAACAAGATTTGATTCAAGATTTGAAGTCATCGTGGCCTAAAAGATAAGGTGTCCGATCCATTTGTATGTAGCGATGCACCGGTGTTCAAATCCCGCCGGCAGGTACCAATTTTTGTAATGAAATACCTACTTAACAAATGTTCACGATTGACTTCCACGGTGAAGGAAAATAACATCGTGTAATAAAAATCAAACCCGCTAAAATATAATTTCCGTTAGTACTGGTGGTTTTTTTTTTTTTTTGGTCAGGNCCCGGGAGGAGGGCACCTCTCAGCACCCAGTCATACCCGATATTCCACAAAAGGGGGCCGAGCACCGACCCCTGTGGAACACCGCGCACGACCGGGAACCGGTGCAGGATCCCACCGTGTCCGGTACACGTGACCGATCTGTCCTCTAAGTAGGAACCCACCAGCCGGCGAAGGTAGGGGGGCACTCTATGTCGTTCCAGCGTCCCCCCTATCACGGACCAGGGCAGGGTGTTAAACGCATTGGCGATATCGAGCGACACCGCCAAAGCCACCCCACCCCTGGAGACGGCCTCCTACGAGAGGGCCCGCACGCGAAGGATCGCGTTGAGCGGCCCTCTCGGAAGCCATACTGCTCCGCCGACAGATCGGGTCCCACCCCGACTAGATGCTGGATGATGCGGGCTGCCAGAATGCGTTCCAGCAGCTTGCCCACCTCATCCAGCAACACGATGGGACGGTACCCGGCAGCAGTATCCGCCGGGCGCCCATTACTGGTGGTAGAACCTTTCTGCCGTGAAGCAGTAATGCGTTTCGGTTTGAAGGGTGGGGCAGCTGTTGTAACTATACTGAGACCTTAGAACTCATATCTCAAGGTGGGTGGTGCATTTACGTTGTAGATGTCTATGGGCTCCAGTAACCACTTAAAAACCAAGTGGGCTGTGAGCTCGTCCACATACCTAAGCAATAAAAAAAAAGATAAAATAACAACATTCAATGCTAAACAATGTAATAAGCATCGTAGGAGCTATATAAATCGTCACAAGATGTTATTCCAACATTCTAATTAAATTTTCTACATCAAGGACGAACTTAATTGAAAATTAAGAAGCTTCTACAAATGTTTCTTTATCATTATTTTAAATTAGGCTATAAAAAACTTCAGAGATGTCAAGGGACACCCGGATGGAACGAAGTTCCTTTCGATTAATTAGTGAAGGAATTGTAATTTTTTTTTAAGTTATAATAATAAATTACGGCATTATGAAGAAGAAAAAAACAATACTATGAACTAAATTACTATTGTTGAAACGCTATCTCGAGAAACTGTACTCATTACGCGGACCAATCGGATACGAGCAATGTCACNAATTACTATTGTTGAAACGCTATCTCGAGAAACTGTACTCATTACGCGGACCAATCGGATACGAGCAATGTCACGCGATAAGCGCCTACACGTTGATTGGTCAGAATGACGGATCTAAAAAGTGTCGTGACAACTTTTCGTAAGAATTTTTTCCGTCTAGCCCCCTTTCACAACGCGCGATAAGGAACTTCGTTCCAAAACTTCGTTTCAATAATTATTAAGTGATTTTATATTTTACTCATTAAGATTGCTTATGTCACTGCCCTAGAAGAATTTGTAGTAGCAATAAATTGTGAAGACCAGAATGAATTAACTATTGTTAATTTTAAAAGAATTAGGTTGATGTGTTTATTAATTAATGTGCAACATTCGTTTATGCTATTAATTAATAATGGCCAATTAATAACAATGTCATAAGGAAAACGTAAAGCAAAAATGACAGTCTTTTCGGGCACTTAAAAAGACTAGTTTTCATTTTGTCATTTTCAAAGCTATATGATGTCTACCCACTCTCGATGCCGGACGGAGCGTGAGCTTCTTCACCAATCTAAGCGATGGAAAATAAGAGCTTATAAAATATATTATTAAAG